AGATTGCACATGGGCTGGCTTGGCATCTTGAAGGGGCTCTCGCCTCCCTCCCACCCTTCATTTCTCTCTCAAGCAAGAAAACTCAGCTCCTGCAACATCTCCCGTGCAGGCAGCACCTACCCTTGGAGGAATTTGCCTGGAGGAACGGGTGCTGGTGGGACTCCAATTCCAAAGGAGAAGGTGAATCTTGAGGGGATGTGCTTCTGCTCATCTTCTTGTGCCCTAACCTTGCTCAGGAGAGTGACTGCACCCGGGGGTGGGGTGTGGGCAGGGGGTGCCCTGAAGCCCAGCTGTGTGGGGTACCAGGGGGAGGAGGTGCTGCTCACGTGGAGCTCCAGCTCCGCGGGTGGGTGGTTGTGATGACGTGGCAGAAGCAGAAATTGTACAAAGTCAGGCAGGGAGAAAAATGTTGGTTTGATCAGTGGAAATGACTAAACAGCAGAAACCACCAGAATTTTCTGAACTCTTCTTACCTTTCTCGTGTCTCCTGTCCTCCTCACTGCAGGCAGACGGTACTTGGTGGGGTGGTGTGCCCGTGCTTTGGGCATTGAGCGTTGTCACTGGCACTGCCCCATGATGGGTGTTGGTGGCCCCATCTCGGGCTGGACTGTCCTGAAGACATTTGTTCTTCCTCTCAGAGCTGCGAGATGCTGCAGACACCTCTCTCTCTCCCTGCATCCTGGCCCAGATGCCCATGGACTGTGCACACCTCTGCATCCTGCTAATCCATGGCTTTCCAGGGCAGAGCAGGGCAGAGACAGGGACTAAGTGCCTGTCCTGCTCATGGGTTTGGAGACATCATCCCCCAGGAAAAGCTTGGTGTATGTTCTTGATGGGCAGGGATGGCAGATCATGCAGCCCATAGCCCTTATGAAACAGCCTGTTTGCTGACTGGGTAATGGTGCTCTCCAGCAAGCTTATCCTTCACCAGCAGAGACACCAGCAAGAAAAGCAGCCACCACTACCTCTTATTGAAAGAAAATACTAAATACCAGTACTGCTTGGTTAGCAGAGTGAGGGATGGCAAAGGGCTCTGACCAGAGCACTTCTCCACGTTGGTCCTGAGAGAACTGGCACCACTGTCGGGGCGGAAAGATGGATACCTTGGAATTTGGTGCCCTCACACCGGCCTCTGGCTTTCTCCTTGAGTTGTCATCACCATCAGCTGGCTCAGCTGGTAACAGGGACTTGGGACAGACAGGTGAAAAGCCCAGAGCCACCAGCCCTGGGAGAGAAATGGGGATCTTAGGATAGGAAAAGCAGAGTGGAGAGAGAAGGACCACAGAGGCTTTTGTACATGAAGCTTTAACCACTAAAACCACTAAATACACAAGACTTGGGCTGCTGTAGTCTCACAGAGGCCAAGAGTGGCTGAAGCCTCCTCCGTGAAGGAGGTCTGCACAGGGCCCATAAATAACCCTCTTGGAAATAAAGAGCTGACTCTTAATTTATTCTGCTTGGATCAAATCCTATCTGCTTATTTTTAGCCTGTGCTCTGCCTTGTGGTGCAGGCATGTGGCTGGAGCCTGCACCTCAGTCCAGACCCCTGGAGCTGACACCATTTCTACCTGCCTGGGAGCCCTCTCTGGGCACAGCCGTGGCCAAGTACGTGGATGGGATTATCCTGAGAAGGGATGCACAGCCCTCCTTCCCTCCCACGGGTGATTTAAGCACGTTAAATGGGAAGGGAAGAAGGAAGAGAAAAGAATGACATCTATGTGGTTTTTCTGGATTTGCTCATGCTGATGGCAAGCTCAGCAGAATGAAGGCCTTTCATTTCACAGGTTCTTTCCTCCTTTCCCACAGCTCAAAGTACCCTGCCTTGCACAGCACACACAAGCAGTGAGGTTGCAGGCAAAGTCCACTTCCAAGCCGGGCAGCGTGGGAGGAAGTTTTGTGATTAGGATGCACCTGCAAGCACATTCTTGAGCTCCTGTTTTTTTTCCCTGTGTTTTCATTTTCAGAATGAATGGCCGATAGTGGCGTGTGGTCACCAAGACCTTTCAAGACGGGAAAGAAATCCAAAGAACAGTAATAATGGAAAAGATTAAATGGAGGAAATGTAACTTTCCTGCGCCAACCTGCTGTTGGGAGAGGAACCCCCGCCTGCTGTTGTTATTCAGCAGAGCCTGAACTGCCGTGCTTTGCGTGGCTGGAGGCCGTGCTTATTTTCTGAGCAAGCCCTGTCTAACTCAAAGCTTATCTGGTGCGTTGCCACAGAGCCCCCTTATGGCTTTAGCTTTCATTCCAATGTTCCAGCCTGAACGTTAATGTTTGGAGTAGCAGGGAAAGTCCTTGTCAAGAGCAAAAGGCTTTCCTGGAGCCAGCAGAAGCTCGGGGGGAGATGTAAGGGGGCAATAACCACCTCCTAGGCACCTCCTGGTGCCTTCTGCCTGGATGGTTGCTGGGTAGCCACAAGTTCCTGCCTTCCATCTGCCTCTCTCTTCCTGAGGCTTTCACCTGAGGCTTCCAGCCTGTTTTGAGCTGGAGCCCAGAACCATCAGGTGTTTCTCCAGCCTCTGGACTGAGCCTGTGGTCAATCACACAAGGAGTGTCAGGGGGCATCTAGTCCCACCAGCCACATGGGGTTGATTTTTTCCTTAAGTACTGCCAGGAAAGGGCTGGCAGAGCACTCCTGCTGTGGCAATGGGTATGAGGAGGGCAGTGCTGTGGAGGTGGCTCACCCTTGCTCTGTGAGAAGCATCCTGTAAAAACAGTTTTGCAACCAGGTTGCACAAAGCTGGCTCTGTTGCAGGTGAAGCCAGTCCTGCCTCCCTCGGCGGCTGTGCGGTCCCACACATGATCCCACACATGGTCCCACTCCCTGCCATTGCTTGCCGGGTTTCGTGTTGGCAGCTCGGGGGCACATCCACAACGGAGCTGACGCCAAGACTGCCAGGGGACAGCGCACCCCGCTGGAACACTTTAGCTTGGCTTCGCCTGAGCACAACACCTCACGCTGGGACACAAACACTTGTGCTCAACCAGCCAGAGCCTATTTGCTTTCCTTGTGCAAGGAGAGCCAGGCCAGGGCAGCCAGCCCACTTCCACACCTCCCTGGGGAGCCCTGGAGTGGCGACAGCACTATCACACTGCTCCTGGTCCCTGAGCCACCCAGGTGAGGTGAGTGGAGCCGCAGCCCCAGTCCAGGGCTGGATGAGAGGCGCGTGGGGCCAGCGGCACAGCAGGAAGGAAACGACTTGCGCTGGAGGGAAGGAGGTGTCAGGAAGGAGGACAGAGAGGTCATCCTGCAAGGAACTCGCTGGAGCCAGGTTACACAGCCTCTGAAAAACTGGACTGGAATGGCAAATATGCCTGAGGCAACACCCAGGGTGTGAGCTGGTCGGGGCGGAGCTGGACCTGACAGGGTCAGGGTTCTGACCAAGGAGGCAGCACTGCCCTGCTGGGACTCCTCGGCAGCCAACAGAACATGGTTCCTGCCCTGGCGTGATCACCCACAATATGCTGATGGGAGCAAAGCAGCGGTGATGTGTCTCCAGGGCTGATGGCTTCGTTGGACATGGCAGTAAGAGCACCTGTCCCCAAGGACAGAGCTGGAGAACTCCTGATGTCGGTGTGGTGACAGCCCAAAGGCTGCCTGGCCAGGCCTTTCGCTGCTTCAGAAAGCACCTGGTCAAGGACTGAATCCCTGCTGCCACCTGCAAGGGAGGAAGGACATCTGTGTTCCCAAGGCCACAGCCAGGTAATGCCCTCACTGCCCAGCCACATGTGGATCTCTCCCTTGGCCACATGTCTTCCCAAAGCCCATCCAGCATGGACCAGTCTGGGAACAATTGTCCTGGGGTGGCTTTACCCTGTCTACCCACCCAGTCAGGGGACATCGCTGTATATTCATTGGCCTCTCCCCCAAAGACTAGCTTGGGCTTATTCCCATCCTTTGCTTCTCCTCAGGCTTGGCTGCCCAGCTTCTCCACCCACAACTGCTCCTGTGTGCTCCAGCACCCCCTCCTTCAGTGCAGGGATGAAGGAAAGCAGTTCCACAGTCATTGCTTGGGGCCCCGTGAGCTGCACCCAGCCTCTCCGTGGGCAGGATGGGATGCAGGCAGGGCAGGCAGGGGGGCAGGATGGCCTTCCTGGCACCAGCACTGAGTAGGAGCCAGCGGAGCAGGTGCATGTGGGTCCCCATGCTGCCCTGCCCAGCCCATATCAAAAATGGTCCCAGAAAGGGACCCAGAGCGAAGGGCTGGAGGTGCCAGACAGCTTGTCCTGGTCCATGGGGGGGTTGGATCTAGACACAGGTGCTGCCTTTGATCTGCATGAGCCACTGAAGGACTCAGAGTCCTTTTTAACGTGAGGCTTTTTGCACACTGTGGGTCAGTCTGGAAAAGCCCAGGTGCTGCTGTCCCCTCCCTGCGGTTGGGATGAATCTGAGCTCCCAGCACAGCAGCTGGCTAAGGAACAGCCTCACTTCTCAATAGCTTGTTTATGAGCTTGTAAACACCTCACCAGCATAAAAACAACTTCATGCCCAGTAGCCACTGGCTCCCAGTGCCCTAATCCTGGCAACCACTTCCTCGGTTATATTTTCATTTCTGTTTTCTCTGCCCCCTTTTCCGTGGCTGAGCAGCTGCTGAGCAATGGCAGAGCAGTGGCATGGGGGGCACCGTGGCATCAACGCGGGGTGCACAGCGGAGCTGCAGCAAGGCCATGGAGACACCGGGGACCTGTCCCTGCTATTTATGGCAGGGGCGAGGCGGTGCGTCCCCTGCTCTCCAGCCGCAGCTGCTGCCGGTGCACCGCGGTTTGAGGATGGACCAAGGGGTAGAGGGGCCAATACAGAGCCGGGCCCGGCGCTGGGGGGTCGGCTGCTGTTGCAGAAGGGAGCCCCCCCGCCGCTGTCCCGCGGCCCGGTGCCGGCGGGGGCGGTGCGCTCCGGGGCAGCCGCTGCCAGCCGGGCCGGCCGCCAACCCCCCCGCCCCGCCGGGCGTGCGCAGGGGCCGCCTCGCCGAGCCTCCCTCCGACCGGCTGCGGCTGCCGGGGCCGGGATCGGCGGGGCCGGGCACTCCCCGGCCGCGATCACCCTCTGCTCGGGATCGCCCCCCGCTCGGGATCGCCCCGTACCGCGGACCCCGCCCGGTGCCAGCCCGGCTGCGGCTGCGGTGTCACCGCCCGCAGCGGCGCGACAGCGGCCACGGCCGGGCACGGCGACCTGCGCCGCAGGTGAGAGCCGGGGCCTGGGCTTTCGGGGCGCGGAGGGGAGGCCGGGGCTGCGCGGGCAGCGAGGGTGGCACCCCCGGGGATCAGTGGGACCTGTGGACCCGGAGCTGGGCATCCCTGCGCGCGGGGCTTGGGGCGGGCCGGGGGGCGGCCGTGTCCGCGTTACGGACTGGGGTGCCCGGAGCCCCCTAGTTAGAAACAGGGATGCTGGGAGCCCCCTGGTTACAAACAGGGATGATGGGAGCCCTTTCGTTACAGGCGGGGATGCCCGGAGCCCTCTGGTTAGAAACAGAGATGCTGGGAGTCCCCTGGTTACATACAAACAGGGATGCTGGGAGCCCTCTGGTTACAGACAGGGATTATGGGAACCCCCTGGTTACAGACAGGGATGATGGGAGTCCCCTGGTTACAGACAGGGGTGCTCAGAGACCTCCCGTTACGGACAGGGATGCTGTAAGCCCCTTCGTCACGGACAGGGATGCTGGGAGCCGCCGAGGCGGCAGTGACAGCTCAAATGCGGGCAGCTGCCTGGGAGGAAGGGCTGGGGAAGCGAAAGCAGCTCCTGTGTTCTCCAGCTGCTCTAACGCTGCCCAGAAATGCTGCGTTTTAGTTTTGCCCAGTTCCCTTGTCCCTCCGATGCCTCAGGCCAGGGGGGTGAGGAGAGGGAAAGAGGTTTCCCCAGCGTGGGAAAAACCCCCCAAAGCAGCTGCGTGCTCTGGGGATGCTGCAGGGATCAATGCTGGCCTGCCCTCAGCTGAGGGACATCCCTCCAGGGCTTCAGGGGGTGTGTCAGGTCAGGGCTTTCCACCTGCCTCCACCACAGCAAGGGTTTTTCCTCTGAGCGAGGGTTTTGCCCAGGCGGAGGACACTGAGCGTGTCCAACAGTCCTTGATGGAAATCCTTCTGCCTGGACACCTCAGAAGTATCCAGAGGGGTGCAGAGAAGTGTCTCCTACTCCCCATGTGCTGTAGCAGCCAGTGCCATGCCACAGGCAGGGGAGGCAGCCAAGTCACAGAGGGCAGGGATGACAGCTGGCAGGGTGACGTACCCCTATCAGGCAGATGGAGGTCCAGTGCCTTCTCACTCGTGTTTGCTTGCTGTGCCAAGCCCAGCTCTCCTCCAGCACAGCAGTGGGCATATGCCAGGAGGGGACATTCACCCTGCTTATTAGCTGGACTCTCCCCAGCATAGACTTGGGCTGTCCTGCCAGCCCCTCTCCCTGCTCCCACTGCAAGTGCCTGGTGCTGCAGCTTCCAAAGTGGGCACCTGGCTTGTTGCAGTCTGGCTGTGGAGGTTGGTACTGGCTGGGCAGGCAGTGGAGAGCAGGGACAGAGCTGCCCTTCCTGTGCTGCTGCTTGTGCCATCTTGCTTTTACCCTGCCAAGCCACCTCTGCCTTGCCTTTGCTCTTCACCTCCTCCACAGGCAGGTGGAAAGTCTGGCAGAATTCCTTCCCCTGGCTGGGGTCTGGATCCAGCCAAGCTGTGCACTGTGCTGGTGTGGGCCGTGCCACATCCTTCTCCCTCAAGGCCTCCTGCCAGGAATCAAGCACTATCTGTGATGCTTTGGGAGCTGCTCCATCCTGCTCGGTATCAGTTAGAGCAGAGCATGTTTCCTGAGAAGAAAACAGTCATGAATCAGCTCTGATTTTCCACACTCTCAGCAGGCAGAGACAAGGCAGTGCCCCGTGCCAGGCAGGGCACAGGCATTGCATACCAGGGGCTGCCAGTGCATCTGGCAGAGGCGTCACAGCTTTGCCCACTTCTCCCCCCGTCCCAGTGGCTTTTAAACCCGCTCTCGCTGTCACAGAAACGTCTCTTGTTCAAGCACTGCAGAAACACTCTTTGTACTTTAACAGAGCCCTTAAACACAAGGCAAGGTGCCAGGCGCCGACAGCCAGGGCAGGGAGGGAACAACTGGCCCTGGCAGGAAGGAGCTGGAGCGGAGGTGGCAAACCCCACTCTGCCCTCGAGAACAGCCCCAGCACAGTCCCAGAGCTGAGTGGGAGCTGCCAGGCCCCCACCTGCACCTGGAGGCCCCCTTGCCCATCCCCTGGCCCTGCACGTGGTCCCTGGGAGTATGGGCACATGTGTGTGTGTGCACGTGGCAAGTCCCTGCCTGCCACACGTGGGTGTCTGCCCACGGCAGCCAGACTGTTCCTGCCTTGCAGCACTTCATGGTTTTATGGTTTTGGAGTGTCATCCATGCCTTGCTTGTAAATGCAGAGGGATTGGGTCCCTGGGGATGTGCTGCGTGGTGCCCCTGGCACAGGGGAGGGAGCACAGACACTGCTCTGGGTTGGGCACCAGAGCACCAGTCTGCCCTTGTCACAGCCTGTCCCTACCCCCTGCCACCCCTGCAGAGTGCCCCGCTGAGATGGCGAGTGCCAGTGGGGCGGAGCCCGATGCTGAGGAGGCAGAGGAGGCTGAAGAGGCCATCTACGAGGAGGTGCTGCCCTGCGACAGGATGGAGCTGAGCCAGCGGCTGGCAGTGGAGGAGCTCATCACCACCGAGGCCAGCTATGTCCACAACATCCAGCTCTGTGTGTCGGACATCCGGGCACACCTCCAGAAGAAGCAGGTGACATGGGGCACATCCCCCCACCCAGGGTCTGGGCACTGTAGGGTGAATCTGTTGAGAGCTGTGAGATGCCCAGATCCCTGCCGGGAGGTCGCCATGTGCTCACCTTCCACCTTCCTGCCTGGGCTCCCCCTGACCAGCCAAGGTCTGGGGTTGGATTGGCATTGGGTCTGACCCAGTAAAGCCATCCTGCAGCTTTAACCCTGTGCCTGTAACATGAAAAGACCTCATTGCCCCACTTGGGAGTACAGGCAGGTCTCAGCATTCCCAAAACCTCCTGAAACAGAGCATCACTCCAACTCCTCGGGTATCACATGGGGCAGATGAGTCTCAGGGGGGCGTGAGCACCTCAGGAACACACAGCCCAACTCTGATGTATTTGGCTTAGCCTGGGGCATCTTTGTTCCCTTCAGCTGCCTGATCTGGACCTGGAAGGGCTCTTCTCTAACACCGACGACATCCTCCATGTCTCCAGACGGTTTCTGAAGGGCCTTGAGGCCACGGCCACCCAGGGGCAGGAGCAGCTGCTCTGCATCAGTAAGTGGTGCACTGCCAATAGCTGACCTGTGCCCATCCATGCGTTTGCTGGTGCTGGCAGTGCCACCGCCCAGCTCTGGGCATGTGGAGATTCCATCCCCATCCCACCTGCCCTGACACCTCCTGCACCTCCCCTGGCTCTGGGAAGTGCTGCTGCCAGCACATTGGTGTCCACAGGGAGCCCACCCCATGGGGGCAAGGCAGACCTGCCCAGCCTGCAGACAGTGGAAGGGGAAGAGCACCAGGCCCAGTTTAGCAGAGGTGCCTGGGTGCAGAGCACTGCCCTGGCACCCTTGGCTGGCACTGCTCTGCTGGCTTCACCCTTCCGGCAGGCTGAGGGAAAAAAAACACTCTCTGAGGGGTTTTCTCTGAGGCCATAGGAAAGGACCAAACTTTCCAGCCTCGCTCTCCTTCCGCAGGCACCCTGTTCCATGAGTTCAAGGAAGAGATGGAGACTGTGTACAAGATCTACTGTGCCAGCTACGACCATGCCCTCCAGCTGGTGGAGAGCTACCGCAAGGACCCCAGGCTGCAGGAGGAGATCTTGGACACCCTGAATGCAACAGTGTAGGTAGCTGCTGCTGAGGCCACCACCTTCCTCTCCCTGTTTTACCTACTGGCTTTGCCCTTCTCCTCTCTGGACAAGCTGCCTGTATGGGTATGTGTCACCAGGTTGGGTGTAATATCATGGCCACTACTTTTGTGGCATTTCCTGGTGTAATCCCTGGCAGCCCGTCCTGGATCCCTGGGGACACATGCCAAAGGGCCACTACAGTTGGTGATTTTTTATGGTGGACCCCAAAATAAAGGATGGGTGTCACAGACAGCTGCTGCCTCCCCCATTGTGCCCCATGAAGGGCACATGTTCCCAGCCTGACCAGAGAGACAGGCTGCCCCTGGAGGACCTTCCAAACTCCTCCTGATCAATCAGGTGGGTCACAAACACTGTCAGAGCCAGGAGATGCAGGAGTGGCAGTGGAGGAACTCCTGGGGTTTGCTGCTTAGAGCACAGGTGATGTGATTCCTGAATGAGATATGCTTTGCCTTTGGGTCAAAGGGGAGTCTTGCCTGCACTTTGCTCACCCTCTCCCTCCCCACTGCCCACAGAGCAAGCACAGATCCTGTGTCTCATAGCTAGACAAGCACAGCACTGTTCAGGGAGGCAGGGTGCCCACGTGGGGCTGGCACTGCCCTCAGGGCTGGCAGCTGGAAGGGAGCAAAGGTTCACAGCCAGAAATCCCCCATGACTTCTGGTCTACTGTCTCCCCAAAACACTCGCAGAGAAGCTGGCAGGAGCAGCAGGGCGGGAAGGCAGCTCTCCCCACCACCCTTGAGCAATTCCCCTCTCCATCAGGCCTCACACAGGCGCATCAGACCTCAGCTTCTTCCTGGTGATGCCGGTGCAGAGGGTCACCAAATACCCACTGCTGCTGGGGAAGATCCTGGAGAACACCCCGGCCAGTGCCAGCGCCCACCCGGCCCTGCAGGCAGCTGTTCGTGCCATGGCCCAGGTCAACGCCAACATCAACGAGTACAAACGGCGCAGGGAAGTAGGTGAGCGGTCAGGGGTCTCGCTGCAGGCAGGGGGCACAGCCCCTGGGAACCCCCAGCCCAACCCCAGTTGTCTCCCCTTGGCGTTGCAGGAATTCCCACTTCAATCAGTTCAAAGCTCTCCTGCTCTCCACCCATCCTGCCTGGTGGAGCCACGGGCTCTGTGCAGGCAGCTCCTGGAACTGCTCTGGTCCTGTAAATGCCACTCTGGGCAAGACCTGAAGGCTGCAGGAGCAGAGTGGCATGGGCAGGGTGGGGGGCTGAGGATAAAACCAGTCTGTCTGCATTCCTGGGTCTGGGGAACTGAAAAGAACACTCCTGCCCTTGGGACAGGAGAAATCAGGCTCCCCACAGATGGGAGCTTGGCTTCTTTTTGGTTTTCCTAGTACTTTCCTTCTTTGATGTGGGTTGTGCTTATCCTGTTGATCAGCCCCAGCCCCTATGCTGTTCACCTTAGTTGCCTGCTCAGGCTACTGAAGATGCTGCCATGAAGTCTCCTCTTCTGATCTTTTCTCCCCCCTCACCTTGTGTCCCCCCCACCCGAGGCAGCAACCAAATACAACAAGGCCGAGCACCTGACGCTGCGGGACCGCCTGGCGCGCCTCAACACCCACTCCATCGCCAAGAAGACCACGCGGCTGAGCCGGCTCCTCATGCATGAGGCCGGCATCGTGGCCAAGGTGGGCAGCCCATGCCCCTCTGCCTGCACCCAGGGACCTGCTGCCTCTCCTCAGGCCATTTCTGGGGCTTTCCGCTGCTCCCAAGGTGCCTCCCCCAAGGAATGGGGAGAGTGGGGCCAGGGTGGGGTGGCTGGCACTGACACGGGAGCCACAGTCCCATCGCAGAGCAGCCCAAGGATGACTCCTGGTCCTCCATCCCAAGGACCAGCAGGGCAGGAGGGATGCAGGGACACACGTCATTCCCTGCCTCGGAGCATTGCAGGGCAGAACTTTGGCCCCCAAAAGGACCTACAGGATCCTTAAACATCCCAGCAAAAGCAAAGACACCTTAGTGTTCCCCAGCACCACGACCACACCAAAGGCCTTGTTGCTGCCTGCACCCCAAGCAACCCATGTCTTGGCCCCTCTCCAGATTCCTGGAGCCCCTCAGAGTCTCCCCTGCCTGTCCCCAGCCCTGTGAGCTTCAGGCAAGTGCCTGGCTGCTGTGTTAGCCCCCAGCAATGGGGATCTGGCTGGTGATTAGCTGCCTCTTGCCTTGCAGACAGAGGACAAGGAGTACAACGACCTGGAAGAGAAATTCCAGTGTGTGGTGTCCAGTGTGGTCACCCTGAAGGAGAATGTAGCATCCTACCTGAGCAATTTAGAGGTAAAACCTTGACCACCAGCAAGGGGTTGGCTCCATTTAGGCTTCAGGACCTGTTCCTTGGGATTGTAGAACACTTAGGAAAGCAAGAGCTGCTGGGGGTGTTCAGGGATTTGCAGCTCAGCTAAAATGTCCTGTTGTGTCAGGGAGTTGCACAACATCCAAGGATTGCTCAGGTCCAGGGGAGCTTAAACCAAAGCTGAGGCTTTGACAACACAGTCTGAGCTGGTGTCATTTAAGAATAATCTGTCCTTAAACTTATCATTATTTCAAGGTCTTAAGTGACTGAAAAGGCCAAGTGTTGTTCAGCCTGGGGATTCTTGCTTTAATAACAGATGTAAGGCAGAAATGTCTCCAGGTCAGTTCTGACAACAAATTTCCCTTTTGAAATCACCTGGGTCAGCAGCTACTGTGATATTCTCCTAGAAATCCCTTGGGGCATCTGAGGGAAATGAAAGTATGAGTGATGGCAAAACATGCAATCCCCAGACGGCATTATCAGGAAAGCCTCAGGAAATGACAGAGGGTTCAGAAAGCAGCAGGCTGGAAAGACCTTGTCATAAAAGTATTGAGAAGGACTCCCCGTATAGGATTGGGCAGGAGGTAAGGGAGTCTGATGCTTTCTCCCTTTCAGGCATTCCTGTTGCCCACCCCACACCAGCGTGACCTGCAGATGGATGAAGGACCTGCCCAGCAGTATCGGCACTTCGCAGAATGCCTCCAGTACACCGTTTTCCCAGAGTTTGTGAGTGCTCCTTCCCTGCACATCTCCCTCAGCCAAGCATTGCTCTCCCACCTTCTGCCAGGGCACAGTAGGGGGCTGGCTGCTCCCACAGGGCAGGGCAGCCAGGAGCTGAGAGGGACCCCAGAGCAGAGTCCTCACAGTCCCCTGAGGCCTCAAATTTGCAGCAGAGCCAGGAGCAAGTAACAGGATCCATCAGCAGTCCCAGACACATGAAGCGAGGAACCAGCTTCAGGGTCCATCCAGGAGAGAAGGGAGGGCTTGGGCAGAGTCACAACTACAACACAGCTCCAGAGCCCATCCAGGGCTGGAGAAAAGCTGCACTGTCTGTCTGATGGGTGCATCCAGGAGCTGGGCTACCTACAGAAGAGATCCAAGGAAACAGAAACCAGCACACTCACAGTAACACTCAGGCAGGGGCAGAAGGCCCTTAAATGGGCTGTGGGCAGGAGTGTGGGAGGAGCCCGGGTGAAACTGGTCTGGGCCATTAAGGGGTCCTACCCGGTCATTTGCATGGAGCACAAGTTTGGAATTGTGGCAGGTGTGACTGCTCTCTATCAAGGGTTTGCTTTGCTTGGCATCCTATGTGCCTTCAGGAAAAGATGCCTGAGATGCTTCCCACTCCACACAAAGCCCCTCAACGGTCCCCAAGCCTTTTACCCTCCATAAGACAGTGCCCCATGCAGGCAGCTGGTCCCGTTTGGGGGGCTCACATAGGGGTTTGTGTTCTCTCGCCTCACAGAAGCAAAGGCTGGACAGGCTGGTCTGCCAGCCCCTCAGCAGCCTCTCAGACATGCTGGTGGGGCCACAGCAGCTGGTCAAGAAGCGCCTGGACAAGCTGCTGGACTATGAGGAGATCCAGGAGCGGAAGAGCGAGATGGGCAGCGTGACGTATGACGAGGAGGCAGCCATGAACACCTACCTCGCCATCAACGACCTGCTCGTGGCGGAGCTCCCACAGTTCAACCAGGTGGCTGTGCAGCTCCTGAAGCAGATCCTGTGCTCCTTCAGCGCCCTGCAGCGGGACTTGGCTGCCCAGGTCCTGCAACGGGCAGACAAGGAGCTGGGGCAGGTGAGCGTGTGTGCCCAAACAGGCACGTGAGCTGAGCCAGACCTTCTGCAGGCTTGGGCCATCTCAGACACCCGGGCTCTGAAGGTTTGCTGTGGCCCAAGCCCACCCTTACAGACACACAACTCCCTGTCTAGGATTTGTAAGCAATCTCTCCTCCTCCCTGCCTGGGGAAAGCCAAATTTTCTCTTCTGCACTGCCAGAAACTGTCCTGCTTTCTCTTTGCAGACGCTACTGGTAATTTATTGATGTGATGCTACCTGAGAGATCAGTGTTAACTCTGAGCTCCTGAGAGCTCTGTGCCATGAAGGCAAGGAGGAGAAAGGCAGCTCCTGGCCTGAGGAACAAGTACCCCTCAACACCCATCACCTGGGAGGTGTCTCCCAGAACCGCTCCCCGTGGTACTCTTGAGCCTGATGCAAACGTGGAGGGTCAGGGCATTTGAAAGCCCTGGGGCAGAGCATGGCTCTGGACTGATCCATGATCAGGATGAGAACAAGGTGCAGCACTGCTCATACTTAGTCAGGAGGGTTGGTTACCCTTTCTCAGTCCAGGCTGCATATGCTGCAGACCTGGAGCTACCTGGAGTTTACCCTGGAGCTACACCTACCTGTCTCCCTTTATAGTCAGTTGGGACAGGCTGTGAGCTCAGGGCTGGACAGCAGGGGTGAGGGACTGCTCTGGTTGGCTGGATACAGCCGAAGAACCCCATGTGTCATGGTCCTGCCTAGAGAAAGTAGCTCACAGACAGAGAGGAGCAGCTTTGATCATAGGTTCAAGGTGCATCTTTAGTGGCCAGGTCTGTTCTCTTGCTTTCTTACCCCTTTTCTTCTTGCTCCTTTTCTTCTGATCCTACCCTACTCAGCTCTTCCTCTCCCCAGGGCCTTCTCTGATCTCAGAGTTTGTCTCCACAGATACCCCATGGCTACATGCCTCTGCCTAGTTTCTGGAAGGTGGTGGAAGACACCTTGCAGCAGTCATATGCTCAGCTCCGGACCTTCTGCCAGACCTTTGAGACTGTCACGCCAAGCCCTGTGACACAGGTAGGGGTTGGGAAGGGGATGTGTCTGGCCAGATGGATAAAGAGATAGGACTGTGGCTTCCCAGTGCAGGACATCTCCTTGGCAGGGAGATTGGCTCAGAAAGTGACCCAGAGGGTTGCCATGGCCATAGTATTTCCCTCTGACAGCAGCTGGCTGGAAATAACCAGGGATGAAGCAGCTCAGCAATTCTAGTTCTGGGCACTCATCTCCAAACCATGGGGTAGAGCAGATAGTGTGAAGGAGGTTAGGGGTCCTCTAACCTCTCACTGGGATGCGATCCTGCCAAAGGGAGGGCATGTGTACATGTCTCCTGTGTGTTTCATCAAGTGCTCCTGTGTCTCCTGCTCCCCGCCAGCCTCTGAACCCTGCTGAGGAGCGGAAGGTCCTCTCCCTTGTGAGCAAGCACGGCCCAGACAAACTTTACCAAGTGACAAGCAACATCAGCGGCAGCAAAGACTTGGACCTGACCTTGCTGAGGGGCCAGATTGTAGCTCTGCTGCAAAGTGCCGACACGAAGGGGAACACGAGCAGATGGCTGGTGGATGCTGGAGGTACCGTGAGTACGATGGGCAGCCTCCCCCTGCCTTGGCACCAGGGTCAGGAACCAAACCCACACCACTTCCTCATCCTGGATGAAAAAGTGGGCCATGGCCTCCTGGGTCCTCCCTTCCAGGCTTTGTTCAGCCCAAATCCACTTCAGCTTTGCCAGCTGCACCCGTTGTCATTAGCTGTGAGGTTCAGGCTTCCCAACTCATTCCCTGAGGGAAGACTCACAAAGTGTCGTGGCTGAGAAAGGAGAATCCACGCACAGAGAAACACATGGAATTCCTTTTTTGTGGGAGGGGATTTCTGCTGGATATCTCCTAGTAATGGACTTGTTTGAGCAGGGCTGCTGTGCCAAGCCAAGCAAAAGCCAAAGTGTCATTCCTCTCTCCTCCAACCAGTCCTACATGTGTCAGGCAGTGGGGCCCCGTGACCCATGTGTGTCCATGTCCTCCAGGTCCCCGAGGGTTTGTGCCTGCTGCAAAACTCCAGCCATATTCCCCGGTACAAAGCCAGCAGCCCCAGATGGAGTTGCTAACCCCAGAGAGTGGCATAGAGAGAAGGCGACATTCCTATGCATTACCTGAAGCCCCCAAGCCCCAGGTGGCCACCTTCACCCCAACATTCCAGGTAAGAGGGGGGGACACCCCAGAGCCATTCCTAGCAATGCCACAAGCTCTGTGGTAGTTCTTGTGTGGGTGGGAAGGTGGACCTGCTTTTCCAGCACACACATGGTCATACCTGTGCAGCCACCTGCCCAGCAGGGAGTGTCATACCCTTGTCTGAGTGCCACATGAGGCTGATATTCTCCTTGCTGGCACCAGGGTGGGCAGAGCAAGAGAACTGTGTTTGGTGGGTCTCCACTGTCCCTCCATCTGTGTCACTGCCCTCTCAGAATGTCTTGTGTGTCCATCTCCCTTTGACTCTCATGTCCAGCAAGGGCTTCCTCCCTCCTTCCCTGCCTTTCCCAGGTGGTTGCCGGCTTCTCCTTCGCAGCCAGGAGTCCGCAGGAGGTGAATCTCCAGGCAGGGCAGCCTGTGGTGGTGCTGGAGCCTCACGACAAGAAGGGGAGCAAGGAGTGGAGCCTGGTGGAGGTGAACGGCCAGAGGGGCTACGTGCCCTCCAGCTACCTGGTGACCGTCCCCGTGCAGGAGCCCCTGGGCTGGAGCTTGCCCGTGTGAGCACGGCCAGCCCACACCCAAGGGCATGGGCTTCATCGGATGGGAGCAGTCGGCTTGGCACCGGAGGACTCCGCACGGGAGATGCTGGAGGGAGGCAGCCCCGGGCTGGGAAGGTGGGGGAAGGCACCTGGCAGAATATGGCCCCGGGGGACAGGGCCTCGAGGATGGCGCTGGGGAGGCGTGAGGGTGCCGTGTCCCGTGTGTGTGCTTGCACAGCGCGAAGCAGCACGGAGGGAGTGAGGGCAGGTGGCTGCAGTTATCCGGGGATTTGCTGAAACCCGTGTCAGTGACAAATGTGTCCCAGCGGACGATGAGGCAGCATTGTCCCCAGCTGGATCAGGACTGAGTGGCAAAGGTGCAGCGCTGCAGAGGGGCCCTCGGCCAGGCACGGGGCACCTGGGCAACTGGGGAACTGGGCAACTGGGCACCGGGGGAACTGGGCACCGGGGCACTCGGGCGCCACCTGAGCGCTTGGGGCAGCGCCGTCCTGGGCCGGCAGCGCCGCGCGGAGCGGCCACCAGAGGGAGCCCCGAACCAGCGCCCAGTGCCCGCTCGGCGCGTACTGGGAGCACTGGTGCAGGGGCCGTGGGGTGCGGGGGCACAGCCCGACGAGGTGTGCACCCCGACCCGCCCGGTGTGGGACGGATATCCCGGCTCACAAGGCTCCCTGAGCGCCCCGTCCCTCCTGCGACCCGCACAGATCCCCCGCGGGTTGACGGAGGTCCCGTGGAAGAGGTTTTTGGGAGAGTCAGGAAGTTAGGTCGGTAGGTCCCTGACCTAAGGCTCGGTCTGAGGGTGGAGATAGCACTCCCTCCTCCCCCTCCCGCTACTCCTGAAGCGCCCCAGCTCCGTGCCTCAGTTTCCCCGCGGTTGTGCTGGCACTGTTTGGAGATGCTGACGGGGCTGAGGGTTGGCAGCCGTGCCCACGGCAGCGCTGCCATGGTGTCAGAGGGCAGTTCAGAAGCCCCCAGGGGTGACTGGCACCACGGGAGAGCTCAGCCCACGGGACCACGTTGCCGACCCCTCGCCCACCGCGGGCAGTGCAGGCACCCGCCGGTGCGGCAGCCTGGCGTCGTCCCGGCTGCCCTGGGCATCCGCATCAAAGGTGCGGTGTCCCGGCTGGCGAGCGCCGGCACGCCGGGCCCCGTGCCCTGCCCGGCGGGGAGGCAGCATGCCCGGCCACCCACGGGCTCCCCGGGGGATGTGGGGGCTGCGTGTGGGTTCCCACAGTGCGGGTTGGGCAGGGGGGCAAAGGTGGCATGTCCTCACCCAAGCCTTGTGCCGTGTGGGGAGGGATGGGGTGGGTGCCAGGCAGGTGGGGACAGGCCCCAGGCACTGCTCTGTGCAACCCACGTGTAGGTCTGGTTTGAGGCAGAACTCTGTGGGGTTCACTCTCCATTATAGCTGTGGGGTCCTGGGGTGCTATTTGTGGGGAGGCTGGGGGCAGCTGCCTCTGCCCAGGTGCCATTGAAAGCCCCGAGCAAATGCTCACCCACACGAAACCTTGAAGGGGACAGCAGTGCTGGAGTTGGGGATGTTGCCTGGGGCTGCTCCCAGCCTGGGGAAAGGCCAATGGGTTCTTTGGAATGGCAGAAGAGGCAGGCAGAGGGGATGAGGGTCACTGTGCAGGGGCTGTGTGTCTGAGCCTTAACTGCCCACAGAGCTCACACCTCCAGCTCGCTGCTGATGGCTCCTCTGGATTTTTCCGTTCCTAATCAAATCACATCAGGTCGGATTTCCCTCTCCAGTCACCTTCCTGCCAGCTCAGTGGGGTGCAATTGCAATCAGCCCTGCACCAGCACAGGCAATGGCAGGAGTCAGCAGCTCGGGCAGGTCCTGCTCCACAGCCTGGGAGTGCCCAGGACCCTTCAGAGGGTTAAAGGTGACAGTGGGACAAGGAGTGCTGAGAGAGTACTGCTGCCTGGGCACTGATCTGTCCATTGGAAGGAGATCTGGGGCAGGCAGGACTTGATAGCCAGTTGAGTTTTGTCTGTCACTCACCAGACTCTGGATTTCAAGTGCTCTGAAACAACAGCTCTCCTTTCCCTCCCTCCCTCCAGCCACTGCCGGTGCTGCCTGTGTGTCTGTCAATGTGGGTCAGGAGGAGTTCTTTGCCCAGCCTGCAGCCAGCACAGGGGCTGCAGGATGTAGGGAGGTGTCCCAGATCCCTGCTGCCTCTCCTGGGTCCCCACTCAACCCATCTACCCAAGCCCATCTACCAGCACTTGCCAGGCTGACAGGCTTGTAGGGCAAGGTGGAAACTGCCCCTGTGCATCCCACCAGCAGATGTACAGGAGTCACCCTCCAGTGCTCTGCAGGTGACTCTACACTGGGGACATGCTGCTTGTGTCAGGCAGCAGCTGCCTGTCCTCTGTCCCTTGTCAGATAAGGCGGTTTTGCTCCAAGCCAGGTGCAGCCCAAGCACCAAGAGGGTCCTTGAAAAGGTGCTGAGCCAGCCAGCATCAGCACCCTGCCCAGCAGCAGTGGGACTGGTGTCCTGCCCTCCCCAAGGTCCTGGTGGCGGATGGTCCCACCTAGGAAGAGGGAAATCAGCTCATGTGGCTCCTCTGGTCTTGGGATCCGAAGGGGTGAGCTGGGCTCTGCAGTTCCCAGCAGCCCTGCTGCCAGCCTGGACGGCCATGGGACCTTCCCCATGTCCTCAGGACATGGCCTACTACTTGACTGCAGGACGCACGTTCCAGCACCTCTCACTTCTCTCACGATTTCACACAAACTCAATGCACTGCTGCTGCCCCGAGTCTGGAAGTGCCCTCTCAGAATCACCGGTGGGTACAGGGCTCTTCCAGCCTAAAAATGACGGGGGATAAAGGGCACAAGTGTGCCTTTAAATAGCCTGTCAAGGACAGGCTCTCCCAGGAGGAATGCTCTGGCTGGCCTGGTGGAACATGCCTGTGGCCAGGGGCACGGGGTGACAGCTGGGCAGGGACGGCTGCTCACCCGGTCAGGTCAAGGTTAGGCATCGCCCCGGCCGGGCGCCACTGTGCCGTGGCTTGGCACCACAGAGGCAGAGCCGTGCAAGGGGAGGGAAACACATGCCAGACCGGGGTTTTGCCATGCCCAGGGCTGATCTGTGAGGTGGCAGCAGAGCCAGGCAGGCACTGCTGCCTGCAACCTGCCCGCCAGCCTGCAAGGAATTTGGCACCAGCACAGCCTGGCTGCCAGAGCAGCCTTTGTGGCAGCTCCGGTTGTCCAGGAGCGCCTGTTGCACTCCTGTCGGCACTGATTCATATCCTGGACGTGCAGGCATTTGGACAGCTTCCACCCGCGGGGTGTGACAGCGCACGGCCGTGTCCCCAGGGCATGGGGCGCCAGCCCGGCCGCGTGCGGGAGGGCAGCATGGTGGCAGCTCAGAGCCTGCTCTCCCCTGCTCTGTGGGGCGTGCTGGCCCCTGGGGACGCGGGGTGGGGGACCACAAAGCACATCTCTAGGTGGAGACAGCTGGATTGCAGGAGGATGGCTGTGCCCAGGTGTCGATGTGCCCGATGGCTCTGCTGGGGCACCCAGGAAGCAGAGGGGTGCGAGAGGAAAAAGCAGCTGCCAGGGAAGCCCCAAGCCCAGGCTCCCAAACCCAGACCATCCCCTCACCATGGCAGAATAGGAGTAAGGGAGCAACAGGGCTGTGGAGGGCAGGAAATGAGAGGAAAGGGGGGACCCAGGAGAGCAGGGTGGCTGCCCTGGGCTGAAGGGCACAGCCAGTCCCAGCAGGGCTGTGATTGCAGGCATGGAGCTGGAGTTCACCCCCTCCGCGAGGCTGAGCTGGCTCTGAAGAGCCAGCCTGTGCTGCACTTTTCCCAGGCCCCTAAGGAGCAGCCCTTGCCCCCTGCAGCCCTCGCTGGCCACTCGTGCACCAACCATGACCAGCATGGCCTGTGGGAGGGCTGAGCCCCGCGGAGAGTGGCCCTGGGGCTGCGAAGCAGGAGTGGAGGTGTGAGCTGCAGTGCTCGCTCCAGGCTGGTGCAGCTGGCACCTGAATTGTCTAATAAAGTGTGAAATTGCTTTCATGCTCTGCTACCTTTGCTGAGATGGACCGTCATTACGGCCCCCCCTTCCCAGCCCGCAGCCGGCTGCTGCCGATGTCCTGCTGTCGTGGCGCTGCCAGATGAGCCCCGGGCTGGAGCTGTGCCTGGCACAGCCCCGCAGGACCCCTGTGCCGGGGCTTGTGGTAGCACCTCCGTGCCCTCCCCTCCCTCTCAGCCCCTCCACTGTGCCCACCCCATGTTAAAGCACAATCTGCTGCCGCTGCATCACCCTGGATGGGAACAGATCTCTGTTGATCTGAAGTGGGAGGGACTGCCCTCCCACTTCCTTACCCCTATCAGATGCCCTCGGGGTGCGGGGATCAGCTCAGGTTCGAGCCCTGCACTGGGGCTGTACCGCTGCCAAAGTCTTGCCCTTGCCCATCAGATACAGCCCTCGAGGAGATAGGGCTCCATCCGGAGATAGGGCTCTGGAGATAGGGCTCCATCCGGAGATAGGGCACCCGGAGCTGCCCCGGACCCTCGCTGAGTCAGCAGAGAGCTCCCACCTTGGCAGGGACAGAGGGGCAGCCTGGTTCCCCCTCACCGGTGGGTGACTAATTGCTGCTGAACCACCTGGATGTGCACAGAAACTGTTCTGCAGCTCTAATAACAATAATCAATCATCCTGCTCTGGGCAGGGGTTGTGGGAGGTTTTCCAGGGCTGGGGAGCTGGCGGGGGAATTGTGGTGCCAGTGGTGGGGCTCCCCTGAGGGGACACGGAAGTCTCATCTCCAGTGGTGGCTGTGAGGGCAATCCCTACCCAGGTACACCCTGCAAGGGGAAGTGCCAACTCCTAGTGCTGGTACTCCTGGGTCTGTGCAAGCCGTAATTTTGGAGGGAAGACCAGCTGGGAGCCCAGGTTGGGCATGGGGCACAGGTTGCTCCCTGCTCCAGAGCATCCTGAGAGTTCCTGTGCCAAAGGGGCAGACACGAGTGCCACGCTGAGTGAGACCAGTCAGATTTCTGCAGGGATCAAGATACTTTGCCCCAGGGAAACTGTGCCACGTTTTCCCAGCCACTGATAAAGTTAAACCCTTGATCTGGTTAAAGATTTAGCCCACAAGACAAGCCTGGGTAGGACAGCAATGCTTTTAGTGCCCCTGGCTTTGTGACACTTGCCCAGGGATCTGGCCCCACTGCCTCCCACTTGTGGCTCAGCTTGGCTGTTGGAGCACATTCCTGCAGCCCCCTATCAGATCACATTCCCAGAGCCAGACCCCACTATTAGAGCACATCTTGGCAACCAGACCCCTCTGTCAGAGCACATCCTGGCAGCCAGGCCCCACTATCCCTGGGTTGCATCCAGGCTCCTGCATGAGGAATGGAGCTGGAGCATCCCCAGAGGCTGAGCTGAGGCCGGGCAGGCAGGTGGCACATGGCCAGGGAGAGGAGCATCCCGCCTGGAGCTGCCCTTTCTTTGGTGTAACCTTATAACCCACGTCCCGCTGCCGCCTGCCCTGGCCACAGTGCCACCCAACTGGGGGAGGCTTCACGCCTTTGGGAAGCCAGCTGGGTCCTGACATGAGTCAGCTGGAACTGCCAGGCAACACTATCCATCTCAAATAGCTCACCCAGTCCCTGCCCCCTGCCCCTGCCCCCCCGTGACCTGGGGGACCCCAGGCAGGATCTCAAGCTGGTGGTCCTGAGGCGATGCAGCCTTTCCCCTGGGGCTTCCTTGGCCCCATGGCACAAGGGCTTCATCTGCTGTGGCAGCAAAAGGCAGATCGCTGAGGACTTCTCTTGTTCCCAAGGTCACTCTGCTGGCTGGAGAGCACTTCAGGGCTTTCCAGAGGTCACAGGAGGTAAGGAATGAGTGTGGTGGGGAGGAGGTGCCTTCCCTCAGCCTTCCCTCCAGCCCCTGTGACAGCTGCCCTGTCCTGTTGTCCAGCATGGCAAAGGGGATAGATACAATGGCCACAGCTCCCCTCAAAGGGGTCACCAGCTCGGAGCCATTCCAAAGCCCTCTCCTCACATCAGGCATGTGAGGCAGAAAGGCTGCCTCATTCCCACCACACATCCCCACTGCCAGAGCCATCCCATAGAATCACAGAATCATAAAATGACCTGGGTTGGAAGGAAGCCTAAAGATCATCCACCTCCAACCCTCTGCCAGGATCAGAGACACCTTCCACCAGACCAGGTTACTCCAAGCCCCATCTAACCTGGCCTTGAACACTTCCAGGAAGGGGGCAGCCACAGCTTCTCTGGGCAATCTGTGCCAGTGCCTCACCACGCTCACAGGGAAGGATTTCTTTTTAATAGGTAATCTAACTCGACTCTCTTTCAGTTTGAAACCGTTCCCCCTTGTCCTGTCTCCACTGGAGAAAACCAGTCACTGGGAGCAGCCAGGCGAGTGCACTCTAACCCAGCAGCATTCCCAAGCCCTCCTTCATTAGCATTCCTCCTCTCCCAGCCTGCACAGCCTGTTCCCAACGCCCCTAGTGTTAATTGAATTACTTCCCCCAGAACTGCCAATGCTTTAGGGACTCTGAGCATCTGCATACACCACGGGCAGCCTGCTCCGTGTCCGGCCCAGCCCTTCCCGTGGGATGAGCCAGCTGCGAGGAAGAAAAACAGATCCAGCAATGGCAGGTCCAGGTTGGTGTGAAGGTGCAAACGGTTCCACTGAAAAGACTCACGGAATGAAGGGAATGGAGTCAAAGTGCAAATCAGGAGCCCCGAGGTTTGTGGGACACCCCTGGTAATGTCTGTAAGCACCCAGAGGGGCTGGAAAATACCCTGCTGCCGCTCAAGCCCTCGCTGTGCCTGCTGATGGGCAGTCCATGCAGTATCAAGCCATCAACCCAAGGCTGCTCCTGCATCTCTATCCGTAGGAGAGAATTTGTGGGTCTAAAATTTGCCTTCTTTGGGCTGCACCCGGCTATAGGTACAAGCTGCAGATGCGAAGCCTTTTGTGTGCCTGCCGCATCCTGGCTGGGATTTACCTAAAACAGCCCCGGGGAGGAACGGCTGGGCGGGGATGGAGGGGGAAAGGGAGGGAGGCTGCCTGGTGTTTGTTTTTACTAATGAAGCCCCATAATCAAATCATTTCAATTTTAATTGTAAAGCCAGCAGGCAGATTTCTGTCTCCAGATGGGACGTGATAGGAATAGTGGAAGGCTGGGCACGTTCTGCTGCTCACCTTAATACTTGGAGCAAGGCAGATGGGAGCAGTGCTGGGGAAGCTCCCAGCCTGCCTGGGAAGGGCCTGGACCCCCAGGATGAGGATTTGAGGTGGGATCAGACCCAAAGCTTCTTCTGTTTCTTTGGCCCAGGAAAGCTAACCCCATGGAGGATGTGCTTCACCATACCCAGATCTGAGCAGGGGAGGCAGGAGTCCTTTTCCCTGCTTTTTATCTCCCAGCTCTGCCAGGATACATGAAATCTATTTGTGGCTCCCACTTGCTGTCTCATTTTTTGGGTGCTTGGACTTTGGGAAAAGAGAAAATAAAGAAACTGGGTCATTTTCTATTTATTTGGAAGAGCTGAGATGTTAACCCTCCAGATGCAGAGAGTTCTGCTCACGTCTCTGTGGGACTGACAAACTTGGAAGCAAGGGATGGGGAGAGGAGAAACCTCCTCCTCACCAAAGAAAATGTGCCTTTTGTCCTCCTTTAGTCTGGGGGGAACTGGGTGCAGTGGGGTTGGGATTGTCCTCCCAGTCCAAACCAGTTCACTCAGCCAAAACACATCTGTTTGTTTCTCATGATGGAGAAATGGAGCCAGGAGGGGCTCGGTTGCTCTGGGACCGATTAACTCCCCCAGACTGGGGGCATTCCCAGTGCCTACCAGGCCTCAGCAGTCACCCAGGGACAAGGGCAGGGGCATAGAGGTTTCAGTTTGGGGTGTTGGGAAGGGGAATGTCTCACATCCTCCCCATCAGAGAGGTTTGTTCCTCCCAGAACGTGACGAGGTAGGGGTGGTACAGCATGATCTGGGCAGGTCACACCAAGTATAGAATACCTTGTGCTTCTGTGCCTTAGCCACAGCCATAAAGGGGCAGAGCCCATCTCTTATCGGGGGTGGCTGCTGCTGCTGCTTTCACCACCCCGAGCTTCTGCACTCCCTGTGCCCATGGCCCCTCTCCCAGAGTTGACAGCATTTCTGGAATCCCCTGGAAGAGATCCAGGTGGGGGACGCCAGGCACCGAGCAGCCACCACTAGCATCCCTCCAGCTGGGCCTCTTTGCTCTTTTCAGCTCTCCTTTTTCATACCTGAGTCATCAAGGACAAGAGCATCAAATCAGAAATAAAGTCATTAACTCGCTAGGCAAATACAGATGAAAACCTCACTTTATTTTTTGAAATCAGAGCCCTGGCTCCTGGGGGCTTTACGTGGCACCTCTCCTCCGCCAGCCTTCCCTTGGCCAGGTTTGTTCCAGCCCCACACACATCCTGGGGTGAGGAGAGGAGGGAGACACAGGCATTCACCCCACAGGGCTTGGCTTGGTCCCCAGCAGCCCAGACACTTGCCATCGGTCTGGGATTCCTGCTGGGATGTGGTAGCCCTGTGCCTGGTGCTGATGGGCTCCAGTTACATGAACTGGGCACATCCAGCAGGAGTGACATGTCCCTCCCATCCCCCTGTGGCACCCATCCCTCCTGCCAGCACAGCACCCTGTGCCCGGGGCTCGGCACATCCCTGGAGCTCGTGCCTCCCACGTGGCTGCGGCTGGCGCATCCCCATCCCAGCCAATCCGTGATTTTGCTCTTCTCCCACTTTTTCTTTTTTTTTTTTTTCCACCACGTACAAATGGGAATTAAATTGAGGCCACTAAACTCATTTGCGCTCGCAGCCGTAATGGGGCTGCAGGCAGCATTTCTCCACCAGCTCTTCAGAGCAGCTGCCAATCTCTGCCTGGGAGCTGCCGTGTGCTGGCTCCTGCTGCCGGGCCTGGCGTGTCGCTGCCTGCTCGTGGCTGGGCCCCCACGGCAAGGCAGGGCTGGGGTTAAACCCAACCAGACCTAAACATGTGCAAGAGC